CCTTCCCCACTCCCACCTCAAGTCCCCCCCCGGTGGCTGTGGGGGATGGAAGGGACCCTTTCCCCCCCCATAACCAGAGGGAAAGGGGGGGTTGGCACCGCCAAAGCATGCCCCGCCCCCACTTCCTCCAGACATTGGGGGGAGGGGCGGCCCAGGGTATCATCACTCCCCCCCCACCATTGCGGGGGGGGAGAGAGAGGGAGAAAGCAGGGCTGCCTCTCCTAATCCCCCCCTCCCCGGAGATCCTGTTCCTTAGTGGGGAAGGGGTGTGTGCAGAGCAGGGAGGTCTCTTCCTGCCCCCACCAGTAAAGACCAGTATGTCTCTTTAAACTGGAGTAGGTGGGTGGGTGGGCAACGTGTGGCCATCAGGCTCTTCCTGGACTGCACTCTCCCCCCCCAAGGCTGGCAGGGGGTGATGGAAATTGTAGTCCAGCAACACGGGGAGGGCTGTAGGCTTTCCACGCCTACTTTTAAGTTCAAGATCCCACCATCTCCGCATCTTCTTTCTCCCTGTTTGGCCCTGAAGAGAAGGAACTTTGGATGTTCTGGACTGCAAGTTCCATTATCCACCTCAGTTGGCATTGCTGGCTGGGGCTGATGGAAATTGTGGACTGAAGAAATGTAGGGTTGCGTTGGTTCGTGAGAGCCCCCTTTCCTGGTTGCAAGACAGCCGAAGGTGGAGACTCAGAGGACGACTGAGCACCCTCAGCCCAGAGATTTAAAAGGCTGAAAACAAGCTTTTAGATTGTGCCGAATGGTTCTTCTGGCATAAATATCTGATGATATGAGGTCACATGGCCGGATTTGTAGTGTGACTTCTTCAAGTATATACCGATTTCATTCCCACACACTCAGTGTCATACACACAGTGTCAAATCAGGTTGCTGAAGTCTCCCAGGACAGCGTCCCGTGTGACACCTTTGTACACTGAAAGCACAGTACATATCCAAGAAATGGTTGACACACATCTGGATTCAGTTGTTTTTCCCTATGTGAATAAGTTTCTGTGTAGGGAGAAAAAGCAGTTGGTTTTCTCTCCATGTATTTATTTGTAAATATTGCATTAGTTTTTCTTCCCAGGGATTTTTAAACAGACCATTTCATCACATTCAGGTTTACAGCTGTCCCCCCACATTGTGTTCACTGCAGACAAGAGAATGCTTCGGATAAGATGATGGCTGAACCACTGTTGCCCTGTGCAATTTAAGCGTAGCTTTCTGCCACTGTGCCTTCCTGCTCATGAGAATGCTAATGTATGGGCTGGTGGGAACAAGGGAGGATGTGGCAGATGTGTCTGGCTAATTCGGTAGCTGAAATATGGCGGCACTTCAGAGAATCAAATTCCTTTCCCCCCTGCATCTTATGGTGAGATTGATGAGGCCAGAGGATGGAGGAAATGGCCTTGATGTTCCGTCAGGTGTTGACCTGAACAGGACCAATTTTAATTTCACCTGCTTGTGTTTTTATAGTTGAGGAAAGAGGAGGATGTACACTAGAAACTGGCAGGAGGGGATCAGCTGCTGAACTTGATAGCTGTATTTGTATAAATCTGGCCTGTGTCGACTTGAAGGCTTTCGAACACAGTCTCAGAGTTACGGAATAGTTGCGATATGGATCAAAATCATTCTTCCTATTATGATTCCAGCTTTTCAGAAATGGTAGCCTCTAAGCTACACTGGAACCTCTTTGGGCTTCCCTTCACTCTGTCTGCCAGAAGTGCTTTGTTTCATTCGGAACCTTGCGATTTCCAACTGCACGCGATGGCCCAATCCACCATTGAGTCCCGTCCGGGACAAAATTGTCCCATCTGGAACAAAAGTTCACTAGCTGGTGTAGGGAGCAGAAGTGTCCAAATAAAAAAATATAATTTACTCTGTTTATTTGGGAAAGTAGAGCTGAGCATTAGTGCCCCGGGTTTGTAGGGTGAGATCCTATACATACGTGTTACCAGCAACTCCAGGGAGTTTATCCGGTAGCAAGTGACAGAAAATACTTCCTGGAAAGCTGCTATAATAGGACTCAGCAATAGAGGGTTGGGCACACGAATATTCTTAACTCCTGCCATGTTTTTATTTACTTTTCCTGGTTTTTCTGCTTTTTTTAGAAAACATTCAAGTGGGGTTTTTAATGATGTTGCTATTTGCGTAAAATGTAAACAAACAAAGCCTTGTTGAATATAGAACAAACCCCAAGTGATCTGAAATGCAATCGAAAATAGTTTAAAAACCATCACCCTTTCATCCTCAGTTTATCACAAGCACATACACTTCAAACCTGTTCCCAATATTTGTATATTAAAATTCACAATCCTTTCACAAAACCATCTAGCCCCCTGCACATATAAATGTATGGAAAGACATGATAGATTACAGACAAATTACGAATAAAAATAAACATTATATTATCACATAGATACATTACAGTACCCGTGATTTCCAGCAATAAGATTTTTGATATGGTGCCATATCCAATTTTATGATTATTTTTTTCTTTCTCGGTACAGTTTTTAATGTGATTTGCTTAATTAAAAAAAAATTAAGTGAAATTTGTGGCAGACACGACGCAATATGCAGAAATAAGTGTGTCTATTTTCTGTAGAGAAGCTTATTTAAGCTTCAAGTCATCATGTCTGAACGATGCAGGGTGCTATTATTGTGACTCTGCCTCTTCCTTTGGCTTTGACTATGACTCAGTTCTCTCTTGCTCTCTGGTTTTCCTAGAAGAAACCTGGTTTCTAAAAGATGGAAGTTGTGTCTGTAAGTAACCTGTAATGTAGCTGATAAAGATAAAGTTTAGAAACGTGGTTTATATTCTCAATATTTAACTTTGGACACAAGCCCTTTTAGTTTCTGTGGGCTTTAGTGTCAGAGAAATACGCTTACAACTGTAGCATGATAGTGCCATCCTAGATATGTTGAGTTGGAAATGAATGTAATTAGTTTAAATTGGACTTAATTATAATTAGGATTAAGGTGTAGGGTGGTGAGCTCACAGAGCCTATATATTTAAATATATAGCTCTTCCAAACTGTAGGCCAGGGCAAGACATTGAAAAGGTCAATTAAATTTTGTCCAGCTAAAAATAATACAAATCTGGTTACTAGTTGTTGTTTTGGTCAGGCACCTGCTGATGAGAGATATACTTCTGAAAATGGAGGTTCTCTTTTATTGTCATGGCTCTTGATTGTAAACGCCTTCTATCTGGACGGATTCACAGATGATGGTTGTATTGGTGGAACAGGACCTCAATATCCAGAGGCATGATTCACTTTGTTGTCAGGTGCCTGCAGCAATATGGAATCGTTCCTATAAAAAGAAGTGGGATTTTTTTAAAAAGAGCATTGCTGAAATTCATGTCATTGGTATGAAACACACACACACACCCTGACTATGACATAGGCATGCAAGCAGTGGAACTCCTTCAGAGTTTCCCAGGATTTACTAAATGAGAAGGTCAGAATTAATGATGGCACATTTTCGTAGATGTTCTCCAGACCGCCCCCATCTCCGGCTTTTTAAATTTGGTTTAAAATGAATAATACTGTACCATGAAAACTGATATAATGAAGCAGGGTGGGGATATCATATTCAGTAAATACAAGTAAAGGCAACTGGACTGTCGCTATTCATTTCCTCGTGCCTTATCAGCTTCAGGAGAGTATCACAAAATTGCTCAGTTGGTTGGATACAGTGTGTTCTGTTTTGCCCCTTTCAGTGATGTGTTTTAATTGCATGGTAAATGCCTGGAGAACTGAATTGTGCGAAACCTTTAAATAATGTTTTTTTTTTAATTGTTGTTGGTTTTATTTATTAAATGCTGTAAATAGGTTTGCTAGTTTAGGAAAGTTAGACCGCTTTTCAGTAAAAGCCTCCTGTCCAGTGCACAGCGCAAGGATTAAATGCTAGGTATCAAATCGCTGCTAAAAATGAACGTAAGGAGAGTGACAGTATAAGAATCAAGCAGTGGTTTTCAGCAGGGCGGTGGTATAAAAATTCAGTGTCGCTCTCCTGCAGAGTACCTGAAACATTGGCCGGTGCATTGTCCGTGCTGAAACGACTGGCAATATCCTTTCCTGCTGCAGAAAGGACAAGATTGGACAATGTTGGGCAAGTGTGTACCGGGGAGAGTGTTGGTGAAGCAACTGCACGCTGATCCTGTATGATTCTGTAAAGTCAGAGAGTTCCAGGGGAAGCCACAGGAGATTAGCAGTGTTTGGGTAGGTCTGTGTTTAGAAAGCTGATCTTTAGGTCCCCGAATAGGAAATCGCTTAGGGTCTTTGCTAGGTCTGTGTTTAGAAAGCTGATCTTTAGGAAATTGCTTAGGGTCTTTGCCGGTGGCACTTTGGAGGATAGGTAAAGGTAAAGGTTCCCCTTGACATTTAGTCCAGTCGTCCCCGACTCTAGGGGGCGGTGCTCATCCATGTTTCCAAGCCGTAGAGCCAGCGTTTGTCCGAAGACCGTTTCCGTGGTCACATGGCCAGCGCGACTAGACATGGAACCCGGGAACCAATTCAGCAAAATAGATTTGGTGTATCTGGCCCTGTTAAAACCAGCTTCTGCATTCCGTGCCTGGTTCCTGCAAAGAGTTTCAGTTTAGGACCCATATACAATCCATGGAGGTAGTCTAGCATAAAGACAACTCAGTGCTGACCGTTGATGGTTGGGCTGTTTCTGTTCAGAAGGGGTTATATTTGTCATACCAGTGTAAACTGGTGGAATTAAATATGCTCAAGTTGCCATAGGTTTAAGACCAGTTTCTTTCAGTTAGTTGTCCTTCCAGGTGTATAAGGTTATAAATAATAAGATGCGATGCACATCCTGTGTATACAGTACTTGGGGAAGAACGAGAGCTGTTGTCCAACCTCTCCAGAGGGTTCTTTGTCGGAAAAGGTGGGTTTCGCATCACTAAAATCTTCCACAAGCAGAATCATCTCGGATATGAGAACTTGAACGAATCAGAAATAATAAGCTCTCCAAGTGAGGAAGGCTCTGCGTGATGATAAGAACACCACGTCTCCAGTGTTTCCCGCTGCCTAAAGGCATGAGATAACCAAGGTTCCAAACAGAATTGTTAAACAGATGGCCGGAATTAAAATGTGTGCAGAAAAGCCAGCCGTAAATCACGAGCGTTCTCGTAAGCATGTTAATGTGTTGCTCTAATCGTACTGCCACACAGCCAAAACCTGATCGAGATACGAAATCGTGAAGCGGGGACTCCTCAGGTCTCCGAGAGGTGGGCAGGGCAGATTCTTGTCTTCGACTCTTACCTTCACTAGCTTGTTGTCATCCATGTTCCTTCCCAGCTTTCCTAAGGCAGGAGGTCCAGGTCTGACCCCTGACACTTTGGAGACAACACAGTTCTCTCTCGGTCAACGGGGCATTGAGTCCTGTGAAGGCAGCCTCAGAAAATGGACTCGGTTGGCCAGCCCACCTCAGCCTGCACCTTAGCAAGAAGCCCCGTGCAGATCCTGAAGCCCTCTGGCAATGCTGCTTCTCCTTCTTAACCCCATTTGTTCCCTGTGGGCATGAATGTTTGCAACCAGAGACTAGGAAAAGAGGAGCAGCCTCTTTCTTGCTCTTGTGACCGCAAGACGAGTCTTGAAAAATGGGGGAAATTTGTGATTGAATTGAATTTACTGTATTGTCAGCAGGAAAAGAGTGGCCAATTGAGACTAATTTTCTAAGCTTCTTCCTCCCCTTCCCCCCAAAAATACAGCCACTGTCTCTCTCGTGGTTGTGGGTGGGAAAACGGGAAATCTGAGGCCTGCTTTCCTCCCCAGTCCCTCTACCCATCCCAAACCCGGATGCTTGCTTTCTATTCTCCATTTAAACAAGGAAATGCAGAAGGGCAATGCAAGCTGCGGGACAGAATGCATCTTGTTTTAAAGAAGGGGTTTTCCTCCGGGAAGCTTGGCTGGAGTGTTTGCAGAAATAGATGGAAGCTACACCTGCCCCGTGTGATGCCAGCGATCTCATCAGTGCATGTGGGGAAAGCAAGAGTTGTCTGACAAGGCCCCCTCCCTCTCTGGAAGCAAGAGGAGGGGGATCAGCTTGCCTCAGAAGCCAACCAACTGGCTTCCCTGTTGGGTGGGATCTAGAACCCAAGATCTGTCACTGCCAAGCCATGTTACACCTTTGGGTTCAGAGGCTTCTCTGTGGTGCTTTAATGGGCAACCAGCCGATGGGTGAGCACCGCATGCAAAGTAGAAACAGCTCTGCTTTGTCTTCCAGAAGGGGGTAAAGGCTTCATTCCCTTTCTGCGTGCCTACTTACATGTGCCTGTCCCTCTGGTAAGAAAATCAGAGTTCTCAAGGAGAAGTCGGCGAGCAGGATGAATGGTGTTCATTCCTTCTCCTACCCAATTTAATCTTGTTTCAGTGATTTGAAAAGAGGTGCTGAACCTCTCTCCCCTTTCCTCATCACCAGGCATCCCATTCAGCTATCCTTTAGGTACCTGCGATGCCCCTGGTTAAACCTGCACTTTCAAGTGTGTGTCTTTGCAAAAAAGTATGAGAAACATCACTTCTGTTGAGGGAAATATTAAATGGAAACTCAGATTTTAAGTTCACGGCATTGGATATTGCCTTGTTTGAAAACTTGCTACAGGAGGCGGGTGACCGCAAGTTAATTCAATGATCCCAAAACCATAATGTTGCTGCTTTGAAATCTTTAGTTGTAAGCATTTGCTAAATGTGTGTAAATAAGTAACAGATGCGCACTTTTATTCTAAAACCGGTTTATAACCAGCTGGCTTTTTGGGTGGCTTCTGAGCTCTGTTTAAACCAGTCCTTTTGATCTATAAGGCTGTGAATTGCTTGCAGCCGGGATACTGAAAAGACCATCTTTGTATGCCTCGTTGAAGTTTGAGATCTGTCAAGGAAGCCTTGTTCCGAGTCCTACCACCTCAACATGCTTGGGTTATGGTTCAAGCCAAAAAAAGGAGCGTTCGCTGTAACCACACCTGAACCGCTGCTGTATCTCCCAAAGTCAAGAGAGGTTCCCCATCTCTGCTGAGCTTCCAGCTGGCTCCGAGAACTATCCTGACCAGTTGTAAAACCCACCTTTGGGAAATGTTTTAGATCTTCATTTGAACACACGTTTTTCAGCGCGTTATCTGAAATCACGTTTTACTCTGTGTTTTAATTGTTTTAACCCAACTGTTTGAAACGGCTATGGGAATCCCAGGGGCCAGAATGGCCATGAGCAGGTATTTGAAAGTTTTAAAAAAGCGTGTTAACGGTTTCTGCTTGCTTCCCAGCTCCCGAACCCTGGACAGTGACGACACGATGTGCTAGCCAGCCGGCGAGCGGCCAGCATCCACACCATGCCCGTGCAGGCGGCCCAGTGGACGGAGTTCCTGTCCTGCCCCATCTGCTACAATGAGTTTGACGAGAACGTGCACAAGCCCATCAGCTTAGGCTGCTCGCACACGGTCTGCAAAACCTGCCTCCATAAGCTGCACCGGAAGGCCTGCCCCTTTGATCAGACGGCCATCAACACTGACATCGATGTGCTCCCTGTGAACTTTGCCCTCCTCCAATTAGTTGGAGCCCAGGTACCATCGAGGGAGCGTTCGCCTAGATCCTCCTCACAAGGCCTGCCTGCCTTTGCATCTACAGTGGGGCCAGGGGAGGGGGGGGGAAAAACACAAACGGGTTGGGAGTCCAGTTTGGGACCAGCCCTATTGTTTGCCAAAGTGAGACAGATTTCTTGGAGAGCATAGCTCTTAGGAAATTTTCCTGTCCCACTTGGAGAGCCTCCCTGTCCCTTTGAAGAACCAGCACTGCTCTCTGCAGGTCTCCACAGCCAGACACGACCTCCTTAACATGGATCGATACCCCCAGTTTATGAGGGTACAAGTGGCAGTAGAAATAACTAAAGCAGAAACAGCAATTGCAGGGGCCTACGGCTGGTCCCATAAAATATGGAAAAGGAAGAAGACCTTGCGGCCTCCAGATAGCTCACAGTTATCTCACTCTCCTATAAAAGCTTCATGTCCTTAAATCACATAAAGAGGCCGTTGCATTTAAGGGTTTTCTCCTCAGTGCCTCTTTAAGAAGAACCTCTGTCCCCTCTGGATCAGTGCTGGTAATGTGTCTGTCCCTCTGAGTCATGTCATGTGATGGCATCTAATGAACAAGTACCACCTCATTATGTCCAGCCAGGTTTTAGGTTGTGATCTTGTTACATTCCAGAGCTCTCTCTCTCTCTCAATCTCTCTCTCTCAATCTCTCAATCAGAGGTAATGTCTTGAAACATCACCATTGGGTCATGTCGCACTCCTCTTATTAAAGGATGCATGCTGCTCACTGCTTTCCTTCCCCGCTCTTGTAACCATGACAGGTCCCTGATCACCAGACAATCAAGCTAAGCAACGTTGGAGAGAACAAACACTATGAGGTGGCGAAGAAATGCGTGGAAGATCTGGCCCTTTATTTGAAACCACTGAGCGGGGGCAAAGGTGAGTCCCCCACATGAGCTGATGATGGAAAGGATGCCTGGGAGAGTCTTCCCAAAAGCAAAAGGCCTCGTTTGTCCTGTTCAGACAGGAAGTTCTAAGTAGGGATTACATTCAGGACGCTGCTTTCTCTAAGGCTGCCCCTCAGGTCAGTCTGTTGCCATATTTTCAGTGGTTCGCCAGGCTCTTACCTGGTTCTTGATGGCTATAATTTTTTTTAATTGGATACACCAGGGATCGAAAGGAGGACTTTTAACCTGCAAGGGATGTGTGAGCTCACCAAGCAGGAGTCCCTCACTAGGACAGATTCAGATCTGGTCGCTCCAGATGCCCTCAGGCGGCAGTCAAAATGAGCTCAAATCAGGAGCACCCCGATGTGGGAAAACTGCCCTCTCCACGTTTTGGTAGCTTACACCTCTCTCTGTGTTAGAGATTTAAGTTCCTGTAAACCTGTCTAAACCCCTACAAGCATCCTGGGGTGAAAAATTGTAGATCCAGAATTGCAGATAGTGCCACCACCGCCACTAAGACCTTTTTATTCCTAAACTCAGTTTTGGGAGGCCTTGGGATTGTTTTAGACTTAAAAAGGTCCTTTTTTTGAGGAGGAGCTACTGGAGATTGGCTGAGGGCCTCTTGAGGAGATGTTCAGGTGGGATCCAAAGATGGAAAATTGGTCTGTGACCCTCCAAGGCCTGGAAAAGGTGAAAAGGTGCCGAGAACCCTCAGAAAGGGCCCACCCTTGTCTGTTTAACTCAGCTGCCCTTTAATCTCTCTCTGAAAATTAGCTGTTCTCCTTTTCCTCCCGGTGCAGGGGTGGCCAGTTTGAATCAAAGCGCCCTGAGCCGGCCCATGCAGCGGAAACTGGTGACCCTGGTGAACTGTCAGCTGGTGGAAGAGGAAGGCCGGGTCAGGGCCATGCGGGCCGCCCGCTCCCTTGGGGAGAGAACAGTGACGGAGCTGATCCTGCAGCACCAAAATCCTCAGCAACTGTCGGCCAACCTGTGGGCCGCCGTCCGGGCACGAGGCTGCCAGTTCTTAGGGCCAGGTAGGCTGTGTTGGAGAGACAGGTGTGCTCGGGGAAAGGAACCTGGGCGGGTGAGGAAGTGCTGCTGTTATTGCTTCTTTCCGTCTTAGATATTTTCTTGTTTTGTGGGAAAAGAGCCACGAGAGAGGAAAAACCTTCAGAACCAGGCAGGAGAGCAAACTCACTAAAGCTGCTAGAAGCTGCCTCCCATCCACCCAGGCGCTGGTGTTCCCTAACTTCCACTTTGGGGTTTCTAGCTATGCAGGAAGAAGCTCTGAAGCTGGTGCTGCTGGCCTTAGAGGACGGCTCGGCCCTCTCCCGGAAGGTCTTGGTCCTTTTTGTGGTCCAGAGGCTGGAGCCGAGATTCCCCCAGGCGTCGAAAACCAGCATTGGCCACGTCGTGCAGCTGCTGTACCGCGCTTCATGTTTTAAGGTGGGTGGGCGCCTTGATGCGGCTTTCCTTTCCTTGTTGCAGGTGACTACAAGCTTTTAGCATTACGCTTAGGAGTAGATGGAGCACGAGGGATGTCACAGGGCCATGTCTTCTTCCAGTTAAAAGGATTGCAACTTAAGATAGATCCATCTATACACTGGTATATACAGTAGGATCCCCATATCCATGGAATTCGTATCCACTGTTTCACTTACCTGGGGTCTGAAAATGTTAAAAACATTAAAATTCATTGAAATTAAAATACCGTCTTTTTCCATGTATAAGACTGTACTTTTATCTAGAATCTTTAGACTAAAAATTGAGGGTCGTCTTATACACAGAAGTAAGCTGAGGAGAGAACAAAAACAAGTGGAGGGGAAAGCAAGGATCAAAGCGATCCTGCAGCACTTTTATCCCTTTCCCCCTACACTTGCTAAGCCCCACTTAGATTTCTTAATTTTGGATTAGAAAAGCGGAGGGCGTCTTATACACGGGGGGGTGTCTTATACACGGAAAAATATGGTACATGTTTCTAAAGATGAAGTCACTGGAACCAGCCACTGGAGGGAGGCAGAGACCATACTATGGTATGTGTCTCAATCACTGGCTAGAGAAATAGATTTCCCTGGTGTCATGACAAGAACTAGCCACTAGTGTTTGCTATTACAATAGCAGTCACTATAATCTGCAATTTTTTGCATCCTTGAGAGGGCTTGAAACCAACTCCCTGCAGCTCTCAGGGGGGGGGGGGTCCCTACTGTATGCCTGATGTGATAAAAGCTGGCTCTGGCTACAGGGCAGCCTCGCCGGCTCCTGACTTCTTTGTCTGCACAGGTGACCAAACGGGACGAAGATTCTTCCCTGATGCAGCTGAAAGAGGAGTTCCGCAGCTACGAAGCTTTGCGGAGGGAGCACGACGCGCAGATTGTCCACATCGCCATGGAAGCCGGGCTTCGGATCTCGCCGGAGCAGTGGTCCTCCCTCCTATATGGCGACTTAGCCCATAAATCCCACATGCAGTCCATCATCGATAAGGTGAGACGTGGCTTCCGAACGGGGGGCTTGTTATTTCTCTTTTTTTAAAAATGTCCCAAAAACGGTGTGTCTGGGGATGAAGCTGCATAGGGCAGATTCTGAGCCGAGAGGTCCAGCCCTCTCGGCCCTGATCTTCAGTTTATGCTGCCTGAAGACACCCACCTTTTGCTCAGGGATAGATTTCTCCATGTCAGTGTTCTTGTCTATTTCAAACACTATACTGGGCACGTACGTAGGACGTCAATTCAAACTGGGTGGCTTTAGGGTTTTAAGAGTCCCATGAGGCTACTAGGACTACCAAATTTTGTTTGTAAGAATGATCATCAGGGACGTTGGCCAGCCTTCAGGTCCAAGTCCTGAGTCCCAAGTCGTTTGCCCCACACCTGGTGGCGGGCAAATGACTTGAGGCTTGGGACTCGAGATGCAGACCCAAAGACTTGGACTGCACATGCGCAACCCAGCGGATAGCACAACGCATGTGTAGAGGCCATAGGTCTGAAAAGGAAGCCAGGCGGGCCCGTGCGCATGCAGAGAGACAGCACTCCAGCTTCCCTTCACGGAGCCGGCCCCGGCCTCTGCCCATGCGCTGGCCTATCAGCTGGGCAGGCAGGTGCATGGGTGGAGACACCCACCGGCTCCTGGAAGAGGCCAGCTGCCTCTGAGGATGGGGATGGCAGCAGCAGCAGCAGGTTGAGAGGCCCATCCCTAACACCGACTCAAAATGCAACCTGGAAAATGGTTCCGACTCACGAGTCGGTTCTGCGTCGTTTAAAAAAAGACCTGGGTGAAACGTAAGCCAGACTCGACAGTGAGTCACTGTTCCCCATTCCTGATTATCATTATGATCTTGTTAAGTTTTGCAGGCACCTTTTTCTCAAAAAGAAAAAAACAACACGTAGAGACCTTTTGTGACAATTAAAAACGTCGTGACAGCCTAAATCTAATTGCTGGCCCCAGTTAAAGTAGACCCATTGCATCAATGGAAATGTAGTCATTTAACACTTCTGCAAGTCTTACAGATTCGGTGGGCCTGCCCTAGAGAAGTCCCCTTTGGTGGGAGGCCTGTGATGGCAAGCCACCCCTCCTCTTAGCAGCTCATAGAGATGGCATCAGGCAGAGCACTCGAGTGTCTCGTTTTTCCTTTCAGCTTCAGTCCCCAGAATCTTTTGCAAAAAGCGTGCAGGAATTGACCATCGTCCTGCAGCGCACAGGTGACCCTGCAAATCTGAACAGGCTGCGTCCCCATCTGGAGCTCTTGGCCAACATTGACCCTAATCCAGGTACATGAACGGTGTGTGTGTGTGTGTATGTGTGTGTGTGTGTGTGTGTGTGTGAGAGAGAGAGAGAGAGAGAGAGAGAGAATCTGGTTGCCCCGTGTTTTGCCTCCCTGAGTTGTAATGAGTATTTGGTGCTCCACACGCCATGTTCAGCAGAATGCGCTTATGATTTTGTACAAAGGAGCCATAGCCGAGAATGACAACCCCTGCTATGCAAACAAAAAGCCCCAGATTTAACCTCTGGGACCTCCAGGTAGGCCTGGAATGTTTCGGAAAGACTTTGCTATCCATCAGTGTTAACCACATGGGGGCAAGACAGAATTTTGGGATGTGTAACGCTTCATTAAGTGACATATCTTTAAAAAAACAGGCATTGCCACACAAATAGATACTGCCTTTTAATGACGTAAACCCCCCCTTAAGTCCTTTTTAAGGAGAAAAGTGGGGCAAAAATATTTTTAATAAATAAACAAGTAAAATGTTTTGCCTTTTCTCCCCCCCAATCACTTCAGCAGTACAGTCCATCAGGGTACGGCGTGACATACTCTCGTGGGCTCGGCTGTTTTTCCTTGCGGCTTGTTAAATCAGTTGCGGTCGCTTTTGGGATTCAGAAGTCTCTATGAGGCAGCTTTGTGCTCCTTGCCTTTCTCGCAGATGCTGTGTCTCCAATGTGGGAGCAGCTAGAAAATGCCATGGTGGCTGTGAAGACGGTCGTCCACGGCCTGGTGGACTTCATTCAGAATTACAGCAGGAAAGGCCACGAGGCTCCGCAGGTGAGTGGCGATCGGCATTCGGCTGCATCCCAGCAGGCGTGCGCCGTCAAGTCTTCTGCTTCCAAAGCACCGCACAGCAGAGACACAGCTATGTTTTCTGGTCTCTTGGTGTGTTTTTTAAAAAGCAAGCCAATATTGACTCCTCTCTCTCCGTCTCTCTCTCTCTCATGGTTTGAAAGTCACAGCCAAACAGCAAATACAAAACGAGCATGTGCCGTGACCTCCGGCAGCAAGGCGGGTGCCCGCGTGGGACAAACTGCACCTTTGCTCACTCTCAGGAGGAGCTGGAGAAGTAAGTCCTGGGAGGAGACTCAGCTTTTCCTCTCCTTAACTAGCAGAAGCTTCTTGAGGCCCAGTGTTCCTTTTGTAACATGTGTGGAACCGTGATTTCACATTTTTACTCCGTAAGTTGCTTGCTTAAGCGGTCGGTCATGAAAAAAAAGGTGCCCCTTGATTTGTGGGATTTGCAGATTTTAAACTTTCCCTTACTACTGAAAAAAAAGGGGGAAGCAGGGTGGGTGGGTGGTAGCATCTCCAGCAAAGGACATTTGCTGCCTCGAAAGATGCATGCCTCCTGGGTGTCAGAATGAATGCCTCTTCTGGAGGGATGTAGCCCACCACCTGGCTTCCTAATTATAAGAATGGTGATGATCGTTAGTAAGACCCAAGTTGAAGTAGAACTGAAGCCTCTTTCAAATGCTTTTCTGCTTTGAAGGGTTGTGATCTGCAGAAAAACAGACCTATAGAACGTTGTGGCTGAATGCAGAAGGAATGACGCAGAGAACATTGTAAAGCCTGGGTTCTTTTCCCAAAAAATAAAAATAAAATAAAACGCCTTGGAAAAAAGCCGAGCTCGGAAAAATTACCGTTTTGGGCTGCAGGGACCAGAATCCTGTCTGGAAGTTTCTGGGAGCTGTCGTTCAAACAGGCCACTTTTCCGAGCCCAGAAAGGAGTCAAGCTACCCCTGCCTTTTCTTTATTTGGAGGGTTTCTGGGCCAGATTCCGATTCTGTTTCTGGAGCAGCCCCGTTCCTGGCTCTGGTTCACCCGCCTAAGGAAACCTCTCCTCCTCTTCCTGCCTTTTGTAAACCACAGGTATCGGCTTCGGAACAAGAAGATCAGCGCCACCGTCCGCACGTTCCCTCTGCTGGGCAAAGCCAGCGTCACGAGCACCGTCTCCACCACGGTGGGAAGTGTCATCTCCATTATTGGGAGCACGGAGACGGCCGGCAAGTTGGCGTCCAGCACCAATGGGATCGCGAGCTTAGACGGCAGCGGCATTCCCCAGCTAATCCCCCGTTGCGCAGAGGCCTCCTCCTTGAGGACTCTGGACAATGTCAAGAAAGTGGGGAAGGCGGGCAGCAATGGCCAGATCATCTCTGGATCCCCCACGGATCCCCTCCCCGAAAGGTACATGGAGTGTTTTCGGAATGAGCAGATCACCAGATGCGGCCACTGACTTGGGCAAGCCTGTGGCCTGAGAGGTCTTCGTCGTAAGGTTATGGCTCCAGTTTAACCATTCCCTCTTTGCCTTTCAGTAAAATTGGCTCCCCTCCGAAGACTCCGGTCAGCCAAGCCATTGCTACCTCAGCAGGGCCCCCTGCTCCCCCTCCCGCTCCTCCCTCTGGGACCGAGATGAGCACTCTTGCACCCAAAGCCAACCCTTTCGCCCCTAGGGTGCCTGTCTACCCTCCGCTCTCCGACAGCCTTCAGTATTTTCAAGATCCCAGGACGCATCTCTCCTATGAAGCCTCGCAGTACCCTCAAGCAGGTGAGCAGGTCTAAGCCTAGGCAAGCAGGACGTCTCTCAGACTCCCAGACTCAACAGGACATCTCTCAGACTCGGCCAGCTTTACTTTCTCCCTCAAAGCTTAGCTGGTCTAGCGATCATAGATAGTGGTTGGTTGGTTGCTTGCTTGCTTGCTTGGTTGACTGGTTGGTTGGTTGGTTGGTTGCCTGGTTGGTTGCTTGGTTGGTTGGTTGGTTGCCTGGTTGGTTGCTTGGTTGGTTGGTTGGTTGCCTGGTTGGTTGCTTGGTTGGTTGGTTGGTTGCCTGGTTGGTTGCTTGGTTGGTTGGTTGGTTGCCTGGTTGGTTGCTTGGTTGGTTGGTTGGTTGCCTGGTTGGTTGCTTGGTTGGTTGGTTGGTTGCCTGGTTGGTTGCTTGGTTGGTTGGTTGGTTGCCTGGTTGGTTGCTTGGTTGGTTGGTTGGTTGACTGATTTCACTTCTATACCACTCTGTTAGTGTTATCACTCTCTTGGCAGTACACAAGATACAATAAATTTATATTGTAATAAAAAGCACCATGTAATAAATACAATAAAAAAATACAGTGAAGTACAATAAACCCTGTCGCTAGCTAAAACGACAAACTTACCTTTGAATAGAAAGACTAAAATTAAAACTAAAAGCCATTTCAGTGTCTCAGGTCAATACTAATAGAAGGCAGCTTCAAATAATTCTGTCTTAATTAGCTTCCTAAAAACCCAGAGGGATGGCGCTTGGCAAACCTCTGTGGGAAGCTTGTTCCAGAGGGAAGGCTCACGACCGAGAAAAGCTCAGTTCCTCGTATTGGCGTTTCCATAGAGATGGGTGTAAACCTCAGTTCCCATCGCATGCCTCCCTCACCAGCCAGCTTCTGCTCCTCTCCTCCTCGTCTTCAGCTCTTTGACCCATCCCCAGCAGAAGCACAGGCTTCCCTGCCCTGCCTCCTTGGCTGATCGCCTGCTCAGACAAGGCAGCCAGGCAGGCAAACCCAGGCTGTGGCCGGGGGCTGGTGGAAGAGCCGAAGAGGGGGATGAGAGGAGCGTGCATTGGTGGGTGGCGGGTGAAGGGGGATTGGAAGAGCCGAAGAGGGGGATGAGAGAAGCGTGCACCAGCGGGTGAAGGGGGGTCATTGGTCGGGGAGGCAGGGGAAGGGAAGGGAAGGTGCCATGTGTGCAAACTGACATGAACCTCCAAACCGAGGTTTCATGCCCATCCCTACTTTTTTAAATTAGTGGTTTCAAATTGTTTAGTAGCCTTTTGTCGCCCTGAGATCTGTGGCTTTAGAGCGAGGACAGGAATGTTTTAATAAATAAATTTTTTTAAAAGGCAGCAGAAGAAAGTGGTAGCATAGCCTACAGGTGGAGCAGGCATCCCTTATGGTGCTGCCCCCCTAGGGTGTGTTTTATCTCAAAATTTGGCTGCCTGTCAGAAACTGGGCCGGCACAGAATGAGCCCACTGCCCTCCCTTTCTACTCGTGAGGAGGTGTTTTGTGGCTTACTTGGCTTTGCAGAGGGAAGTATTCACACGGAGTCCATTCCCTCCTCCTCGTACTGGCAGGCCAGACCTTGCACTGCATGGAACTTGAGTCGAGGGGCCGCACTCAGCCAGTGTTTCTCTTCCTCAGGTTACTACCCACCCCCTCCGCCGCCACCACCACCGACCGTCCCCACCGGCATGGCTCCCTGCCTCCCCCGCTTCGTGAGGTCCGGAAACGTCCCGGAGCCTCCCCTCCCGCCGGCTTCGGTGCCCTACGGGGACCATTACAGCGCCTTCTCTCCTCGGGACCGGCTGAACTCTCCTTACCAGCAGCCGCCTCCACCGCAGCCATACGGGCCGGTCCCGCCGGTCCCTTCCGGGATGTACGCCCCCGTGTACGACAGCCGGCGCATCTGGCGGCCGCAGATGTACCCGCGGGACGACCTTCTCCGGAGCAACTCCTTGCCCCCCATGGACGTTGTGCATCACCCCTCCGTCTACCAGACTTTCCTGCGAGAAAGATACAACTCGGTGGACAGTTACTACTCCATGGCCTGCCCGTTGCCAGCAGAGCAGAGGACGGTGCCTTTGTCACGGGTGAGTGCGGCTCGGATCGCGGACCCTCGTAGCCGAACATGGACTGCTGGGGGTGCTTCCTTCTGCTTTGCCCCAAAGCCCAAATCTGAATCTTTCAGAGAAGTCAGGGGTCTCTGTTCCACTGCTACAGGGTTTGCAGAGAGCAGGGCCAGCAGGGCCAGGATTCCTGCCATTACCTCACTCGCTCGTGCCCAGGCCTTGACGCTTGTAGTTGCAGGTCCTGGAATGCAGCCAGGATGATAGCGGGCAGGATATGAGAAGAGACTTCTTGATCCCACTTCCTTTCTTAAGAAAGTCTGCAACGCTGACCTTTCAGCCTGGTCGGCCTAAGTTCTCGGCTGACCAGTGTGATTTGTCCTGGGGGGAAGATCTGCCCTTGGAATGAGTATTTATAGATGGAGAGAAGCTTTTGCAGATTTGTGTGTTTGGACTACAGCTCCCATAATTCCCTGGGCAAACCCCATGCTGCATCAGGGGAGTCTGGCGACTGTAGTCCGAAAGTACAGCACATCTCTAGTTGGTAAGGCAGCGGTTCCCAACCTTGCGTTCCCCAGTGCTCCTGGACTAAAACTCCCAGAAGCCTTCGCCACCGACTGTGATGGCCAGGATTTCTGGGAGTTGTAGTCCAAGAACTTCTGGGCGACTCCTGGTTGGGGTCCAGTTGCATCATCAGTTGGATGTCGCTTGAATGGGAGTTGTAGTCCAAGAACTTCTGGGGGACTCCTGGTTGGGGTCCAGCATGTATACAGTTGCATCAGTTGGATGTCGCTTGAGCTGCTGATGTTGCTGTTATTATTCCATCGGAGTGGGATTTGTAGTTTAGTGAAGCCCTTGGCATTCTCTGGAACCGTCCTCCCCCAGACTCCCCATCCCAGGATTCCTCGGGTTGCCACCATGGCAGTTAAACGAAGGTCACAAGTCCTTGAGCAGCTGATGCCTGTAGCTTGATATAAACTGATGCCGCGTGCACAGAACGGGAGCCCTCCCCCCCCCTTAAAACGCCTGTCTGATGCCTTCCTCTTAGGAGCCCTGCGGCCACTCAAAGCCTGGGTATGACGACCCGCTAAGAAGGAAGCCGGAGCAGTGGGCGCCGGGCCATGCGCCGAAAGCCCCTCTTGCCGCGGCCTCTCCCCTTCCTCCACCCACACAGTCGCCGCCACCGCCTTCCCCACTCTTCAGCGTGGACTTCAGCACGGAGGTGAGAAGGGTCAGGAGAGAGAGAGAGGTCCCACCCACCCAGGCCAGATCCCGCACAGGCATAGAACCTGGGAGCACTTGGTATTGCTGCCCCCCCACCCCTCGGCTGCTCATGGCCCTCAGAGGTGGGAATTTCGGCCCTAGGAGGGATCCCTGATAACTAGGGTCTCCTGCCATTATTGTTTTGCTAATTAGTAATCCCCATCTGCTGCTTTGAATGGCAAGGGTGGGGTTTTTTAGGACCCTGGTTCTCAACCAGCAGTACACATACTACCGGGGGGAGGGTGTGTGTGTGTCTACATACAGGGATAGGGTACCAGTTTTCTGGGTTTGCCTCTATATTCCTCCATCAAGCATCCATGTCCCAAACTCAACTGATGCTGCTCTGGCCATTAGCCCCAGGTGGATTGGTCAGGGTTTTCTTGAGCCTTCTGCTTTCCATAGTTTTCCGAGAGCTCCAGCGACTTGAACAGCACCAAGTACGAGGAGGATCGGCTCTCCCACTACTCGCCCTGGTCCTGCGGCACCATCAGCTCCTGCATCAATGCCATCGAGTCGGACCCCAAGGATGTCGTAGCCAACTCTGGCACGGTGCTCCTGGTAAGGCGCTTTCCTTCCTTGAACCTTTCTCCGGCTTGGCAGCAAAGGTTGGGGAGCTGATGTTGGCTCATGGAAGAGAGAGGAGTCTCTAGAACCACATCCCCCCAAAGCCTAAACAACAGAACGCCTTTATCATGGCAGCCCTGAGGGCACAAAGCCATATGCAGGCTTTTTCAGTCTCTAGATCTTGGCATCAGGTGAAATAGTACATACAAAAAGGAGGAATATGTCTTAATGAGTACACCGCTGATGTGCTTTCCACAAATAGCCAGATGGGGTGATACACTTATCACACATTTTACGGAGATGCCTCTCCGTATGCTGAAATCACATATGTCTCTTTGTGATAGCATTTAAAAAAAAAATACATTTGTGGGGAGAAAGAGAAGAAAAGAAAGAAAAATGGGGAGAGAAAAATACAGGGTTTGATGTGACTATGAGTTACCCATACAGGTAAAAAACTGCATAGTAATGTCTTCTAATTTGGGTGTTACCATAGCACTTGATTTTTCTTTACCTGTATATCTTGCATTTAGCGTGCATTGTCTTCCGATAGGTCCCTGGAAGGTAAACCCAGGCAAGGTGGATGCCTGAGGAAATCCTCTTTAAGGAAAGAAAATCGGTTACTTATGTAGGGAATAAACCTCGCCCTTAATGTCCGGTCTGACCCAAACTGAATCTCTTAATCTCAGTATTACCTCTCCTTCCCAGATCTGCGGTATGCCAAAAATAATTGTCTGCCTGCTTTTATAAAAATAGCAGGCATAACGCACACATGAAGCGTTGAACGTGGTCGCAGTGACCAGATAGGCGGGGTATAAATAAAATAAATAAATAAATAAACGGTCCAAGAGGAATTGTCCAAAAAGTAGCACAAAATGTTACCTTGGAGCCAGCCTTACCTATCTGCCTTCTTGCCCATAGCAGAGTGCAGGCAAGGTTTACAAGTCCTTTTTCTCCCCTCTCTTGACCATGAAGGATCTGGATAGTGGGGATGTGAAGCGGCGGGTGCACCTCTTCGAAACCCAGAGGCGGGTGAAGGAGGAGGACCCCATCATTCCCTTTGGCGACGGGCCCATCATCTCCAAATGGGGTGCCATCTCCCGGTCGTCGCGTACGGGTTACCACACAACGGACCCAGTTCAAGCCACTGCTTCCCAAGGAAGTGCTACCAAGCCAATCAGCATGTCAGGTATATGCTCGGTGGGTTTGGAGGGGGGGGAAGAAGGGGGCATGTGGGGGCTTTCTAGATTTTGGCCATACTCATTAGGAAATGTGGGAGTTGGAGGCAGAGTTAGACATCCATCTTCCCTGGAGGGCCACATATTGATAACCTTTGATTTAAAGCATGGGTAAGGGCCTCTTTTAGCCTAAAGAGCCAGTTTTAAGTAGATTTTGGCAAGAAAGGAGGATTCTAGTGGTGAGTGGTTCCACAGACTAAAACAGAAATAAAGTAGGACCCCCTGTATGCATGGGCTCAGTATCAGGAAATAAAGTAGGACCCCCTGTATGCATGGGGGAGTTTCAGTATCAGGAGTTTTACTTTTCCACAGTCTGAAAATATTAAAAATGTAAAAAGAAAAACCCAGAAATACATATTCCCATTATGTAATTACCATCACTGGCCACTAGAGAGAGCCAGAGACCGTGCTATGCATATGGTTTACTATTATCTATGGGTTTGGGCATCTGACGGGGTGGCTTGTACCAGAATATTTTAGTGTACCAGAATATTTTAGCTGACAGCTTTTACCCTAGGGGTGTCAAAGGCAGGGTGGCTTATCTGCCTGGGGGACCGAGGAGAGCCAAGTTGAAAGCACAAGAGGGCTCAAATCCACATCTTCTTGTACCCCTTATAGCTAAGGATGAGATTTCCCACCCCCCTGTTTCAAAGCTTAGGAGAATTACAGAGAAAGAGGGCTGGAGGCCCAGGGTCGCAGGGGAGAGGGGTAGGATTCTTGTCGACACGAACTGAGCTCCTCTCTGTTCCGTCCGGCACAGATTATATCCCTTACGTCAGCACCGTTGATTCAAGGTGGAGTTCCTACACCTCAGACTCTGCTTCCTCGGTGTCTTTCATAGAACGGTAGGCGAACAACGTCCGGGCTGCCACAGCCGCCTGGGTGACATGAGGGCGGTTTCTAGGGGGGCGGGGGAGGGACTACAACTCCCAGAATTCCTCAGGCAGCCGAGAACAGTAGTCCAAAGAACACAAATCCACGCCCCTCTGGCAGAGCAGACACCTCTCTGGTGCTGCAGGTCGTCCTCCGCAGCACAGAAGGAGCGAACGTTCCCCCCTTCCTCTCTTTAAAGGGACCGGTTCATCGTAACTGAGGTCTCCGCTCCAAGGAAGCATTCTAGTGCTGGTGATCTCCAGAGCCTAGAACTCCAGCAGGTAAAGGCCGTTCCGGCACCTTGACCTGGATGCATTTGGGACAGAGGGCCTGCAGAGCCCTCGCCGAGCTTTCTAGCGTTACCCGAGAACGGCAGGGTAGAAGAAACGTGACGTCCGGTTCTTTGGCATAGCCGTGGGCTTCCGCTTCTTAGGTGTGCGTGCGTGAAGAACGGCGGGTGGCCCGACGTTCCGCAGCTCACCCTCTCTGCTTTTCTGCGCAGGCCAAAAGCAATTCGTTACTGCTTCAGAGAGAGGCCCATGCCCTCGCCACCCAGCAGAAATGGAGCTCCTTGAACGAAAGCAGCCATCTCACCTTAAACCTTTTGAGCAAGGATCTTGACTTGAGCAATGGCGAGGTAAGGATAAGAGTTGGTGCTTAGGAAGGACGGAAGAAGCCAAGCCCTGCTTCCTGAATTGGGGAGCCCACATTGTGGCTGGTGCCGCAGGCTGCATGTGAGAGACTCGGGGTGGGAGGGTCAGTAGATTTTCCTGTTTATTTCTCTGATATTTAAACATCTCCCCTGCTTCCTTGCCCCATTTGTCCGTATCATACCTTTTACCAGGGGCACCAGCTGTGCTTTTAAAACTGTAGTCTCTCTCTCTCTCTTTTTCTCTTCCTTCCTTCCTTCCTCCCTCCTTTCCTTCCTCTAAGGCCGACTATGCAGAGGACAGCGGGGACACAAAGCCTGACCGAGACATTGAACTCGAACTCTCCGCCCTCGACACAGATGAGACCGACGGACAGGGAGAGCCGATTGAAGTAGGCAAACAGAAACCTTGATTTGCTGAACACTAGCTTCGGTTGGTTCAAGGGAGCCCATGGATTTGCGGGTGGCGCGGTTAACATTTTGCCAACCCTCGAAAGCTGACCAGCAGGGAGCATCGATGTAAAATAGGGCTTTTTGTTTGAATTTTGAAATTTGAACTTTGAAATCTATTTTTCAAATTTTACGTGCAGGCGTGAAGCCTACCCCTTAGGTTAGTTTTGAAGTAAAGCTTCGTTCTACCCTTTGCCATGTTGAGAAAGTAGGTACTTTCTGGCAACTATCTTATAGTGACCACAGAAAATATCTGTCTTGAGCAAAGGGAGTTGGAGAAGAACTGTGCTAAGTGGTTGTCCCACGACCAGGTCTTCTTCTTTTCTGCTCTCTCCTCCTTCAGCCTTTCCTCGGTGGCTGGCATTTGGATAGGATGCTCCTTAAGACGCTTTTCCATGTTGCTCCTCCTCCCTTTGTTTCTTTGTTTTTTAAAGGAGATTCTGGGCCTGCAGCTCGGGATCAGCGATCAGGATGATCCTCTGTTCAATGGCTCTGCTCTGGAGAATGGCCATCCGCTGGACCAGCCCCTGAAGGAGCCCAGGCAGCAGAAGAGGACCAGCTTAGGGGACGACCTTGCTCTTCTGTGAGTGTCCCATCAAAAATGGCAGGGTCTGCTCCATCTAAAACTCTCGTTACCCAGCGACTCTGTATCTACCCCATGGAGTTAGTGGAGTCTCCTGGGGTTTTCCCTCTACAGTCTCCTTCCTTGACTGCCAAACTAGATTTCTTGCTAGGCCACAACACCGGTTGTGTGTATGCATGCAGGTGTTCTTCTTCTTTTCTGCTCTCTCCTCCTTCACCCTTTCCTCGGTGGCTGGCATTTGGATAGGATGCTCCTTAAGACGCTTTTCCATGTTGCTCCTCCTCCCTTTGTTTCTTTGTTTTTTAAAGGAGATTCTGGGCCTGCAGCTCGGGATCAGCGATCAGGATGATCCTCTGTTCAATGGCTCTGCTCTGGAGAATGGCCATCCGCTGGACCAGCCCCTGAAGGAGCCCAGGCAGCAGAAGAGGACCAGCTTAGGGGAAGACCTTGCTCTTCTGTGAGTGTCCCATCAAAAATGGCAGGGTCTGCTCCATCTTAAAACTCTCGTTACCCAGCGACTCTGTATCTACCCCATGGAGTTGGGCCACGGGTTGGACAAGCCTGCTCTACAGTCTCCTTCCTTGACTGCCGAGCTAGATTTCTTGCTAGGCCACAACACTGGTTGTGTGTATGCATGCAGGTGCGGGTGTAGGCACCCATGAGGTTGCTTCAAATTGGACCAGATCCGTTAGGCCAACATTATATTAGTCACTTTGGGATTCCATTTCATTTTGTTAGTCCACTAGCTGAATGTAAGGATACCCTGCCTTTGCACTCAGAGATTGAGAACCTGTGAAGTCCCTGAAAATCTGGACTTTTTGTTCATTGGTTTGCGCTTGCGCTGTGTGGCTTTTTTCATCACTCCCTTCTCTTCTTTCTTCCCCGTCTCCGCCACCCACCCACCCACTACCATGGTGAACAGCTGAGAGGTGTTCTGCTATGGAAGCATTTACACGTGCTTTTTATAAATATATACATATATATATATATACCATATATATATATTATATAATGTATATTTTTTTTAAGAAACTACTATTGGTTTCCTGTGGACTCTTTGGTATCTCAAGCCCCGCTCACATTTCCTAAGAAAAGGAAAACTAAGCAGCCAACTCAGCCGTTCACTTTCCACAAGTGAGTTTGGGATCTAGAGAACGTTTTACTTAAGCTTGAAAGCAGCTTCTTGAGGAGTTTGTGGACATTCCGTAGCACCCACTGAGCCATGTTTGCTTGGCAGTGGTTCTCTAGGAAAACTTACTAGTTCCTCGTTCAAGCCAATAGGTCCTTGGGTGCTGGAGGTATACCTGGCTTGCTTTGCCTTGTGGGTTTTTGTTGTTGTTGTTGATTGGTTGGTTGGTTTGTCTGATGACGGAGGAATTTGCCTCTGGGGGCAGTTGCTTATTTCTTCAGCTGTGGACCTTTGCATGAAGTAGCGGGTGTGAAGAAGTGAAAGGCGAGAAGTCTCCTTAATAGGAAAGACATTACATTCAGGGTTGAGACACTTTTCTTTAGCTTTAGTGGGTCACTTGACATCTTCCTCTTTCTTTGCTCTCCCCCCCCATCCTCTCTGCACCACTCCCCTCTCCCACTTTAGAACTTGGTATTTCCAGATTTTGAACGAATTTTTGCCTGCGTACAAACGATAGACTTCAAACCAAGTGCCTGCATCTTTCAGCTTCTGCCATCGGTCTTTGAGCTGCTCCACGTTGTAAGCAGAATCTCTCAGTTCTGTTTCAGTGACACGACACCCCTGCGTCCAGGGTGCTGAGTGACACAGCCCCCTTGACAGACACCCGGCCCCCTCCCACCCCACCCCGGTGGCTTGGCATCCAGAGCCTCACAAATTTACTTCCCACCCACCCCGTCCCAAAAATACAAATTATTCTCTGTCGTGTTTGCACTGACTAACAACACAGTATTGCTGTTGCTGTACTTTTTCATAATAATAATAGTAATAATAATAATTAATCAATAGCTAGACACTCATGATGTTGTGTTGGTTATAGTATTACTGGGAATTTTAGTATTTCCAGAGCCTCACAAATTTACTTCCCACCCACCCCGTCCCAAAAATACAAATTATTCTCTGTCGTGTTTGCACTGACTAACAACACAGTATTGCTGTTGCTGTACTTTTTCATAATAATAATAGTAATAATAATAATTAATCAATAGCTAGACACTCATGATGTTGTGTTGGTTATAGTATTACTGGGAATTTTAGTATTTAGGTTTATTATGGATTTAAGTCCAACAAGGCCTTGAAGACCTACTAATAACACAGTTTTAGCAACGCTTGTACAAAACAATGAATAAATTTGTCTTCATCGTGTTTAATTTAAAGAAATAGCCACCCATACCCTAGGGAACTAAAGGCTAAAATAAGTTCCCTCAGAAGTATCATCTTAGCCATACTTGATTTTTCTTGCTTGCTTTAAAAATTCAGCTTTCCCTCAATATCAGAGAATCAAGAAAGGTTTTTTTTTCCTGGCTTTCCAGCACAATAAGTTATTGGCGATTGTTCTCTGCTGCTTTCTTTTTGGGTTGGGTTTGTGGTTTTTTTTTAATGTTTATCTCATTTTTTTAAATTTTATTTTTTAAAAATGTTTGTTAATTAACTTCTGTGAAGTTGTTTACTCTGAAAATTGTACTGGAATATTTTACCCAAGCCGTACTTTCACCAGGGTTTAATGATATGCAAGGGCTTGTCCTGTTAGCAAATGGCTTTAAAGCAAAACCGGGAGAAAAAAAAAGGAGGATCATGTTACTGGCAAAACAGGGCTGTTAAAAGTCCAGACTACAGTTTTGCATATGGATCAGGCTTTTAAAAATACATTATGTGCACGTCGGGGGGCGGGGCAAAGACAGGAAGTGGGGTCTGTCAGAGTTTTGCAGATTTAACTCGGAATGTGATTTGTAAGGTTTGAGGATAGGGGTGGGTGGGGTTGCATTCTAAATATTAACTGGAAAAAAAAATCCCAGACGGTGTTTTGATAATTCTAGTGCTGTTGTGAAAATCTTGCCCAGTTATTTAACACTAAAGCACTAAGAGCCATTTATAATACGGCAGACGGTTTCCGAAAACATTTCCTGCCTGACTTCTACAAGGCAGACAGGGCGGCTGGAATGCAAGAGTCGAAGCGCCTCCCCGTTTTTCCTGGTGAGGGTTATGTCTCAGTGGGATACCAGCTGTCGATAGTCAGCTGTTGTGCCCTCTCCATCTGGCTGGGCTGTTCTGTATATAGGAAATTAGTAGATTTACATTTGAGATGCTTCCAAAAATTTATTTTGCTGGCTGTGGTCACTTCCAAGATAGATATCGGCGGACAAATAGCTAGAGCAATATATGCAAACCAAGCTCGCTTGATCTCGTGCATGGAATTTTAAACAATAAGATCTTCCATGTCAAAGGAAGGTGATGTAATTTTTGTTTTCCTGAAAAGGAATTGAAAACCTAATTGCTATTTTGTTACAAAAATAGATGATGGAGAGGGGGCTTATAAAGGTTTCGAGAGACCTTTGTTCTTGCCCTCAGGGGATTTATCCCTTCTGTAAAATAAAATAAAATAAAAACAGAATGCCAATGGGCACCTCCAGCACAATCTTGAGGGTGAATATAAGAATAGCAAAACAGGTCTCGGGCATTTTAACTTTTCATGTCATAATTGTAAAAGTCAGCAGTTTCCCTCACCAGCACAACACTTGGCTGTACTCTGCATGAGGAAAAGGTTTTTTTGGGGGGGAATCACTTGCAAATTTTATATCCGGCAGCATCACATTTAGAAACTCACTTTCTGATGCCTTTTTGACCGGCTTGGCTGTAATACAGTCGCTCTGTAGAAAGGGTCACGCGCGGGCTTCTGTTCCCAGATCTGTCTGCACTACAAAGTTTGCAGCAGTTTCATGCCACTTTAAATTGTCCTGACCCCTGTCCTGCAGAATCATGGGATGTGTAGTCCAGCGGAACGCATGGAATTCTCAAGAGAGCTTGGCTGCCCTTCGACAAGATTCGGCAGGAAGGAGAAAGCGCTGTGGGACTGCTGCAAGCGTGTCGTGGCGACAGTAATCCAGGTGTTCTGCTCGAAATTTTCGAAACAGTGAATTGCCGGCCCAAGTAAACCACTGGCCTTCCAAGTCGCACGCCGGTTTCCTTTCGGCGCTTGAGCAGGCTCTTACATGATCTTGCCACAAAAGTGTGATTGTCTTGGCGTTCCCATGAGAAATTCCACCTCCCAGGGCCGAGCTGGCTGTTTTGCATCCACATCAGAATGCAGAACTTAGGGGGTCACCTTAGATCAGCCAAGGAGACAAGACTAGGCTCCTTAATACTTTTAGCCTGTTTTAGGGCCCTCTGCCTTTGGAAAGTGGAAATTCAGGCAGACAAGGAGCGGGAATCGAGAAAAATGGGGCATGGATACGCTAGGCAGACATGTACAAAATGATTATGGTAGCAGGAAGAGTTTGTGTGACGGTCGCTCCTTTTCTTTTTCTTTTGACTTAGTGCTTCAGTAGCCAGGTTTCCAAAATGAAAGGATGCTACCTCTAGCTGGTACCCGATGTGAACTTGCAGGACTTTGATGACAAGTAGGTAGCACTGGAGTGACATGTGTGTCAAGGCAGTTACATCAATGCCACAGAGCCGAGACGACCAGCGTGCCATTTTTGCACGTGGTCTGCATTATCTTTCAGATGCACAAGCCCCTTGCTGCAAGCCCTGCCACTCTACAAACCAGGCAGGATATTTTTTTATCCTTCCCGGGTGCATTCTTTAAAAAAGAAGGGTAGCTGGCAACTATGAGTCTGTATTGAAACACAGGAAGTGCATTCCTTGTGTTCTGTGTGCAGGGTGAATGCTCTGTCGCCAGAACAGCTTTACATTAAAAACAAAACTCATTACCGCGTGTTACACATTTTGTCTTTTTATTTAAAAAAAGAGAAAACTTTAAAGAACTTCACACACCTTGGCTGCTTTTAGGACAGCAATGTTAGGTGAGGGTTGTTTTTTTTTCATGTAAAGAAGAACGGTGGTCACTATCAGATTTATGGTCTGATTTTGTGAGTTGCTACCTTTTCCCGGTATTTATTATCCTTTGCAAAGGTAAGATCTGGCTGAATCTGGGGAGTGTGCCCCTATCCCGGGGGACAGGGGGCATGGGGACACCCAGTAACTATCCACTACTTACGACAGATGCATCTTTGTATTTAGGTGGCTCTTTCTCCTTTAGAGATCAGATGTGCACTGCAGAGAACACAAAAAGATGAAAATGGCCTGGCATCGCATTTTGCTTTCGGAGGGCGGCGCTGCGGGTAGCTTTTCCCACTCTGTGAACACCCAGCCATTTCCTTCATGCAGGGGGAACATTACGATACAGTGCTTTGCTGGCAAAGTGGTACATTAAAAAAAAATCATCACATCCCTCCGTTAAGGGAAGGGGCTGAGGTGGGGCAAGGCTAAATTGCTCATGGATCCCACCCGCTCCCGGTAAAAATCAAAAATTTTGGGGGGGGGATCTATCCACATAAGGAGGCATGCTTTTTGTGAAGCTTTTAATTGACACTTTGTATACTTGAGCGTTTTTTTAAAAAATCAAATCCCTTCTGGCTACCTTTATGCCAGACGGCAAAGCATAGAAGGTTTGCAGAAACTTTAACCTAGAGGAGTCCTCCCTTATTTAGTCCAAGGCATGGGAATGCATGCTTTTTCCTTTTTTGGGGCAGACAAAAAAAATACATTATACTGTAGTTGTGATACAACATATGTGGCTTTTCTTCGTACTGCGCACATCCACTGTACAGCCACTCCGGAGTATCGTGGTTTAAGCTTGCAGTATCTGCCGCCTGCGTTTTATACTATATACTGTGTATTCTTTTCCCTGGAAGTTTAAAAAAGGAAAAAAAGAAAAGAAAAACATTTTTTTTCTTGTTGACTAACATTTTGTAAACTCACTTAGCCTAGAAAGTTTGGGAAAAGAGGCCTGTTTGTCAGTTGTACAGCCGGTTGTGAAGCTCAGGTGTGAATATTTTTACGTCTGTATTAGACATTTTCTTTGCAAATCTATTGTTCGATTGAAATGTAAATGACATAAAAGATGGTGTACACCCATCATGTATAATAAAGCAGACACCATCGCTACGATGGATTTAATGCTCATTTTTAATGGTGCATTCTCAGCTTCTATTTAAAAATATAATTTAAGGGGAAAAAATCTGTAAAATGAAATGGGGGAATATATTTGGGGGGGGATATGAATTCTATTCCATTTAGTTCCATTTAAAATTTCCAAATTGTACCGTTCTTTTTCTCCTTTTGTGTTATAGGAATAGGATTTACATGGGAAAGCTTAGACCGTACGGTCTGTATTTTCTGGGCGGGAAAGGTGATGCGTTGGGGGTGGGCTTTGTGATTTAGCCTGAATAGCCGCGTGGATTCTGTGGGGTGCGTGTTTGTTGTAGCACTGAAGTGAAGAGATAATTTAGCTTTTGGGCTGGTCACGACAGACTTTAGCAAATCGTGGTGTGTATGTTTCCTCCCCCCCAGTGTTTCGAGAGAGAATTAATAGGAAAAAAAGTTTGCAGTACTTGACATGTATTTGCATGCCGTAAAATAAAAAAAAATGTCCACCTAAATCTGTTTTGCTGTGTTGTTTTTTTCCTTGTGATGAACGTTGGGATACGCCACAGTGGCAGGTAACCGCTTGTAGATAAAATCACCTTTCAAAAAACAGCCCTTACTAAAAATCTGAGGATGGAGAAGCCCTCTTTATGAGCCGGATGACAAATAGCCTGACCTGAAATAAGATGCTAGCTTTGCTTCCTAATGCATTGGTAACAATGTGTGGTAATATATATATTCAAGACGTTTTCCCATTGTGGGAACAGTGGGGGCCCCTGGCAGCATCTCTGCTTGGTTGGGTCCCATTTGAAGTGCCATGGCTTTAATTCCGTTATTTTTTAATACTGTCAGCCGCCTTGCATCCTTTACAAGAACAGAAATATTTTAAATAAATGAGTGAATAATAGCATTCTTTCTTCCCTGGGGAGAAGAAGGTGCTTCTGGCCCATCTGATAAATCACTTTCATTATATTTTGGATGCAGAAAGGCTACACTCAATTTAAATTTAAAAGGCAATTCCCCTCTCTGTAGGTATAGTTTTTGTTTTTATGTTTGCGGATAAAGGCTTAGGTTTGAGCGGCTAGGCCCGCCACCTCTGGTCGCCATAGCAACCACTCATTTATTTGCCTGTACTCCCCCCAATTGCCACCAGGGGGCTGAGTCTCCGCCGGATGCCGGGGCACGCATGCGTATTCAGTACCACCCGTAGACGCAGAGCAAAGGGTTAGAGAATCCATGAGCTACTATCTCCACTTCAGGTTCCCATGCGAGCGCAAGGGAAGACGTCGGCTTCAAAGGCGCCTGTTAATACCGAGACAAAGGCAATATATACATTTTGCAAACTGCCGGCATTGTTAAGTTTAGAAAACTAAGCAAAAAGAAACACGATTAAGAAGTTGCACAAACGCAAAACATTTTAAAAAGAGCAAGCTTTTGTGCCTCTCGTTATTTATGAGCCTCGAGTTGAAGCCAAAGCGGATCCAAACGGCAAGCGCGATTTAATTTCGAAGAACAAGTGTATTTGCAAGAAAGAAAAGCCAGCATAAAAGCCTTGGGCTGTTGAGAGTTTGCAAACGCATTTCCTCCAGCTTTCCCCCACCACTTTGGAATGGGAGCCGGAAGTCTCTCTCTCTCTCTTTTTTTCTTTGTTCTCTTTTCCCTAGGCGGCTCTTTGCACCGCTTTCGATTAGGAACCGGAAATCTTGCCCCGCCTGGAGCACTCTCTCCCTTTCCCTACCTCTACGCCCAAGGGCGGGTCCGGCTCTTCTTCTTCCTCCCCCGCCCGGTTCTCCCGGCATCCTTTGCGCCGCCTCTTCCTGCTTGCTCGTTGGCAGAAGGGAGAGAGACGCCCTCCCAGAGGGTGAGATATGGGGCGGCTGTTTGGGGTGGGGTGGGGAGTAGGAATTGGCAAGCTGTTGTCTGCAAGGGGGCTCAGGTAGGGTGGGAGATGAATTGGAGGGGGTGGCAGGGGGTCCCCCCTTCCCTATGGCTGTTTTTGGGAAGGAAGGGGGGCTCCGCCCCATAGCAGGCATATGGAGGGGGCTGCTTTTGCTATTACAGTTATTTGGGATACTGAAGGGGGCTCCTGCCCCATAGCAGGCATATGGAGGGAGCTGCTTTCCCTATTTTACAGTTATTTGGGATGCTGAGGGGGGCTCCTGCCCCATAGCAGGCATATGGAGGGGGGTGCTTTCCCTATTTTACAGTTATTTGGGATGCTGAGGGAGGCTTCTGCCCCATAGCAGGCATATGGAGGGGGCTGCTTTCCCTCTTACAGTTATTTGGGATGCTGAGGGGGGCTCCTGCCCCATAGCAGGCATATGAGGCTGGGGTCCTTCCCTATGAGCAGATATTGGGGAGGCGGGAGGGTCCTATCCCATAGCAAAATATGTGGGGCTGTGGCCCTGTCCTATGGTGTTGTCTTTGGCTATCCTCTTAGTTAATGGTGCCATGGGGTGGGGGGGGAGAGAAAGGAAAGGGTTAATGCCTTTTGGAGGAGGGGTTGGGTGGCCCCAGACGTGGGGGTCAGAAGCAAAGATTTGGGGTGAAATTGGACGGGGGGGCTCAGCCGTGAGAGTTGGCTTCTCTTAGAACAACAGGGCTGGGACCGACCCTATGGATCCTTGGGGAAAAGTCGGTGCCCTTTGATGGAGAGGAAGTGGGCATCCCTGGGGGAGGGGAATTGAAGAGTTAAGGGGGGCTGCCCCATACTTGGGGGTGGCGGCTGTGAAACTCGGACGAGCCTTCATCTATTGACAGGCAACAGTGTTGAGAGCTGGAGTGTGTGTTGGGAGTATTACTTTGTGCTGATGTGCAGGGGGACACACATACACACATGGGGGGGGAGGGGAATAAAGTTTAGACGGTAAAGTTTAGCAAACTAACTTCAGCCGCTTTGGGTCCCTTGTTGCGAGAAATGCAGCATATAAATAAAACTTATGAAATAAGTAAATTCTTTGCACTGCATAAGTATCTTGTTCCCCAAAACACTTTTCTGTTTGGGGCTGGCACAGGGGTCTCGCTTATGTTTAGAAGACCTCCCATCAAATTTCCAGAAACGGACTCTTCTCTCCTTTAGCC